GGATCCCAGAATGCGGGATCAGTTGCGAGAGGCCGCTGATGAACTGCACATCTCCATGGAGACTGCTCGAGGTATTGTTAATCGCCGACGTACACGCCTGTCCACTTGGCAGTCAACCTGTGCCACCTTCGAGTCGGCCCTCCTCATGAACGCGGAGGGAGAGGAAGTTGAGGGGGATCAAACCCTGCCTGTGTGGATTGCGACCATCCGACAGCGGCTGCAGCAATCTGGACCTGATCTCAGCTCTCCGGATTTCCAGAAGGAACTGGTAAGAACCATATTTGATTGCCGCACCGCCTTGAATCTCATTTTAAATGCTTTTCATGTTTTTGGATTTTACTTTTTAGAAATGTTTGTAATTTGAATGGAGGTCAACGAAATTCTGCTATATTTTTCTGAATAAACCGGATCGTAAATGGGTCATTAAGTTCATTTGAGACCCTTTAGTGATATAACCTATGCACTCACATGACCTATGCATGACGCATGAGTATTAATCTCACGTACTACAAGTGGTCTTCCGCTTAGTTCTAGGGAAGTTAGCGTTAGGCTAACTTTTAGGTTTGGGGCTAGTATTTGGGTAATGGTTTGAGTTAGAACAGATAAATATGTACCATTCATACAGAGGGAGCTTCCTATTTACGGTATCTTTCCTGCACATTTAAAAAAGCCAACTATTCTATTGCATTTAATATAAGAGACCTATTGATAAAATTAAACCTACACTGGAATGTGCTTATAATCTCCCGAGATTTTTGTATACTAACAAAGACAGTTTAAACACACCGTGTTTTTAATGCTGATTTGTCTCATTGCATGATTAAGTTTTAAGGCCAGTGATGATACCCATGTGAGCATTTGCAAAATAAAGTTTGGTGAACTTACGCTTCCGATTACTTATCATTAGGCCAAATAAAGGATTTCGTTTCCAACACAGTCGAAAAAACATCTGAAGGTTTAACAAAATGGTAAAATATTATTTCCTCCCTAGGGCAGAACAGTTTTCGTTATTTAAGTCGACCAAAGCTTTTTCCTTTTGCACTTTCTGTATGTTATTTTCACCATAATACCGAATTAAATGGAAATGGTAGTGAAAATGCGATTTCCAGGTGGTAAGTCAGCAGAAGGAAGAGAGTTTTATTTTGTGTATGGCGCTTCGGTAGTTGTTTCGTCCAGGCATCCTCAGAGACTGGACTTTCCGGCTCATGGCTCTCGTTATATGCTGCGCTTTTTTGGTGTGCATATTTTGTCAACCCCATTGAGAGGAAGAAGAGTCGGCCGCTGGGTCAGCACTTCTATTCGCCTGACGTGTCGACATCCGTCACGGTTTCTTCATTAGAGACATCAGCAAAAAAACAGTAGCAGAAGCGGAATCGGACATGCACAGGAAGTTACAGTATTTATAAGATACAGTGATTACCGCACGCTCGCGACAACGACAATTAACGTCATTGCCCTTCAGTGACCGGCATGTGGGGTGTAAACTGCTGAACTTGCACTACGCGTGATGAACTCGGGCGTAATGATTGCTCGTCTGTCTGATTCCCCAGTTTTGACGTAAGACGTCGCACTA